CCAGGAGCAGGAGGCAGAGCTGGACCCCAAGGTTGAGGGGCTTTCACCCAGCCCCTAGATCCTGGCACTTTGAACTTGGGCTTAAAGCCTCCAAATTGTAAGAATAAACTCCTGTTTGTTAAGGCCATGCCATTTGTGGCATATTTCTTGTCAGAGTAGCACTAGGTAACCAGGACACTGATCTTCCACTTTACCAAGCAGATTGTTCTCCAGGGAATGGCCCCTTCTGAGAACATGACCAAAGTAGGTGAGACGAAGTCTGGCCATTCTTGCTTCTGAGGAGTATTCCAGCTGCACTTCTTTCAGGACAGACTGAGCCAACAATGGATTAGGCATATGAAAAATGAAAGAGTGAGACAAATTATATACTAGAAGGGATTGCTAGTTTGTCTGTGTGCTGATTGAAGTCAGACTTGTCTAAAGTAAGATAAAGTGCCAAAATGACTTGTGATGTATTTTGCTGTCTTTCCCTCTGTGTGTCCCAAGTTCACATTACAGTCAGTTTTATACTTTTCACAATGTACAGTGCATCACTGTTGTTGTTAGGTGCTGTTGAGTTGGTTCCAACCCATAGCAACACCATGTACAACAGAATGAAACACTGCCTGGTCCTGCACCATCCATGTGTCACATTAATAATGAAAATACCTAGAATGGCTTGGCCATGAAAGTGTCAAATGTCAACTGCACCAAAAAGAAAAAGAATGAAAATACTCAAAAGACAGAAGAGTTTTGGCAGATGGTAGTGATAGATCTACACTACCTCTGTGTTCTTTTCTTTCCACTTGGCTTTCCAGTAGTCATTTCAACAGCCAGATGCTCTCTCAGTGGAGATGTAAAGAGAAGCAGAGAGGAATCCCAGACCTGAAACTTATTTTTCCCCATTCAGTAGACTCTAGTCTTATCTTTTTATATCTATAGAATGCAGTTTCTGAGGCCAATAGCCTTGTGGAAGGTCCGGCTGAGGGCATTCTTCACCTCATTGTTTCTCAAGCTATAGATGATGGGGTTCAACATGGGAGTAACAATAGTGTAGGACAATGACAGCAGCTTCTTGCTCTCAGGAGAATTATTAGACTTGGGTCGAAAGTAAGTGAGGCTTGAAGATACATAGAAAAGGGAGACAACAAGGAGATGGGAGGAGCAGGTAGAGAAGGCTTTTTGCTTCCCTTTAGCTGAGGGAATCTTGAGGATGGCGGCAGCAATGCGAGTATAGGAACATAGGATCAGCACACAGGGAGTCATGACAACCAGAATAGTTCCAATGATGGCGTAGATCTCAAATAGTGCTGTGTTTGCACAGACCAACCTCAGCACAGGTGGGCTGTCACAGAAGAAGTGGTTCACTTTGTTGGTGCCACAGAATGGAAAGCTGAAGAGCCATGTGGTCTGCACAGTAGCTACTGGAAAGCCTGGAAACCAGGAGGCAGCAGCCAGTTTGGCACAAGTCCTTTGGTTCATGACAACTGCATAGTGCAGAGGGTTGCAGATAGCTGCGTAACGGTCATATGCCATGGTGGCCAGGAGGAAGCATTCAGCAACTCCAAAGAAGAAGAAGAAGTACATCTGAATAACACAGCCAAGGAAGGAGATGGTTGTGTCCTGGGCAAGCAGGGTTCCCAGCATCTTGGGTACAATGACTAGGTTGAAACCAATCTCCAAGAAGGACAGGTTCCTAAGGAAAAAATACATGGGGCTGTGCAGCATAGAGTCAGCTAAGGTAACCAAAATGATAAGACTATTTCCTATCAGTGTGATGAGGTAAATAATCAGAAATGTCACAAAGAGTAATGACTGTATTTTAATAGGTAGGGAAGAGAAGCTCATGAGGATAAACTCATTTACTCTTGTTTCATTTCCTTCAGCCATAGGTATAAGCATAAGTGCTCAGCTGTGAACATGGAGACATATCCTTGATTGGAAAATTTAGATTCTGGATTTGTTCAGATTTTGTCTCAGTGTCAGAGAAAGAGGCAAGGTCAGGATCTAAATTGAAAGAGAAAGGGCGTTGAGTTTTTTTAAAGAATAAAGACAAAGGAAGAATGGCCAGAATCTAAACTTTGAGATGGACCCAGATCAGCTGCTGGAGTTAATTTTTCCCTATTTGCACATTGAAATTATAGAAAGCCAATACAAAGTCAGAAATATGAGCTATTCGGTTCCTGAAAGGACTACAAAAGGACACATTTTGGATGACAGTGATATTCTTGAAAATACTTAACATTTTGTAAACACGCCCCAATGGTCATGATTTCACTAAATAACATATAATGCAACACGACGCAATGCACTACCATCTAGTGGGATCCGACTCATAGTGACCCTTCCTTATGTTTCTGAGGTGGTGTCACTATAGTAGTAGGTGGCCCAATCTTCCTTCTGAGGAGTGGCTGGTGTGTTTGAACCACCAGCCTTCTGGTTAGCAGTCAAATGCCTTAGGCACTATGCCACCAGAGCTCCCATTTAATATATAAGATAATAAAAAAAAAAATTCTACAAAATCATAGTGAAGATAGAGGGAAAGAGGACAACAGGACCAACAACGGTTACATCAAGATATTCAGGAGCTTCCCTGACCTTCGCTGAAACTCTTTAGAAGTTTGCTGTAAACTGATTGTGAAAGGGCTTCTCTTTTCCTTTTATCTGAGTAATCTCGAACTTGGAATTTTCACAGAGAAATGGTGAAATAAGAGTAGAAATGGAATCAGTTCAGAGACTGGGATAAATGAGGAAGGGATTGAATGTGATTAGGAAAATAGTGCAAGAAAAACTAATCATAATAAGGAGAAGAAAAAGATTTGACATCAGATAAATAAAGAACAAGGATGTGGTCAATCTTACCTACACATTATAGAATTAAAATGGCCTCATAAGCCATTCTAAGGAGTTTGGAATTTATTATGTGGATGAAAAAGAGCCACCAAAATTTCAGAGTGACATTGCCAGTTATTCCATATGGAAAGATTACTCTGATGTGTAAAAATGGGTGGGGTGATATGAGAGTACGAGAGGGATCAAGAACAGTATGCCTGGATTCAAGTAGATGAGAGGTGATAGCAATAGCTCATTCTTTCCTAGTCTTTTTAAAAAATGACCCATTTACCACTTTGTTACCATATTTGTTAAAACAAAGCTGATCATATCTATGAACACCTGTTTTCTGCTCCACACTCATTACATTTGTAGTGGGCTTAAGTGAGAGGGGTCCTGAGGCAATAGTGTGGTTCCCAAATTGAAAAAAAAAAAAAAAGTAGGAAATTTCCATTCATACCCATTATATGTACCCTTTATTCAGAGAGTCAGTGTTTTTATATTACCCATCTCCTGCCAGAATTAGTACTTACCTTTCTATTTCCTTTTAAGGGCTACAATTCCAAAACAATTTGAGAGTTTTGTTCTGCTGTTAGTTGCCATCAAATCAGTTCTGATTATTAATGTCAACCTCACGTATGCAGAGTCAAACTGCTCCAATGGGTTTTAAAGACTGTAACCTTTTGAAAATAGATCACCAGGCCTGTCTTCCAAGGAACCTATGGGTGGGTTGGAACCACCAACCTTTAGGCTAGTCGTTGAGCACTTACGGCTAATAGTTGAGTAGTACGTGCCGCTCAGTGGCACAGTGTTTTGTTGTTTCACATTTTTGTTGGCAGTGAGGTAAAGTAGAAATGGGGAGTCAGGGGGATGAATGGAAATAATACCCATAAAATCCACTGCCATCTAGTTGATTCTAACTCATAGCAACCCCATTGGGTTTCCAAGGCAGTAAATCATTACAGAAGTAGATTGCCTCATCTTCCTTCTGTGGAGCAGCTGGTGGGCTTGAACCTCCAACCTTCTGGTTAGCAGTCAAGTACCTTAAGCACAGCACGACAAAACAAACAAACAAACAAACAAACAAACAAAAAAAACTCACTGCTGTGGAGTCATTTCTAACTCATAGCGACCCCTCCTTGGGTTTCTGAGGTGGTATCTCTACAGAAGTAGATTGCCTAGTCTTCCTTCCAAGAAGTGGCTGATGGGTTTGAAGCACCAGCCTTCTGGTTAGCAGTCAAGTATTTTAGGCACTACAACCTGAATGGATTATCAAACAGCCTACACTGTGCCTAACAGTATAATGTTAGAGTTCCTAAGGCATTTGATTGCTAACCAGAAGTTCAAACCCACCAGCTACTCCTCAGAAGGAGAACTGGGCAATCTACTTTTGTAGAGAAGCTGCCTCGGAAACCCAAGGAGGGTTCACTATGAGTTGGATAGACGGGAGTGAATTTTGTTTTTTGTTTTTTTTGGAACCCGTTTATACTCTCACAAATGCTATAAACTCTTTCTGCTCCCAATGTACATATATCCATATGTATAAAATTATAGTTTTGGATGTTACAGATATCCTGAAAACCATGTATATATATATTGTTGAGGTTTTAGTGCTACAATTTATTTTGGAAATCATGGCCAATGCAATATGGCAAACAAACAAACAACTAAGGCATACATATTGAAAAAAGAGAATATAAAAGTATTGTTACTCACAGAAGAAAAGCTAAGTTCAAAGGGTTGGTTAGTAACCCTCAATATATTAAAAATCAAAATTTTCTTACAAAACGGAAATAAGGGTATTCACAGTGTGAAAATGTAGCAAATACCACAACTTGGGTGGCAGTTTTTGAATGGGAGTCTAAACTGTTGTGTAAATTTTTACTGAAAACACAATAAAGTATTATTATTTTTAAAAAACATTAATACTTGTCCTATATACAAGGAGAAAGCAGTTAGGGAATAGGTATAGATTACCAATAAAATACAAAAACTTTAGGATAGTAATATAAAAATGTGTAGTAAACTTTTTAAGAAAATCCAAACCCTTACAAAATGTTATAAAATCATCTTGAACAAATTGAATCTCCTCTTTCATTCAGGCTAGAAAAATAGTATTATAAAAATGACAATTTTATCAAATAAACATTGAATATAATTCAAAAACAAAAAAAATCCCATATTGTCATTTGTAACTTGACAAAATGATTCTATTAAAAAAAAAAAACCTGAGAGATGGCAATTATGACGAAGATTAAAAGAAAAAAATAGAGGAAGAAGGATGTACATGATCATATATTAATACATTTTATTTTATGATATGAAAATCTTTTATAATATCTTTGCTTATGCATAGTTTAAGTATGGTAGTTTGTACTAGGCATATTATTAAAATAGGAAGAAGTCCAGAAGTGGTACATATACATGAAAAAATTCAAGAAGTATCTTTGGGGCAAGATAAGCAAAGTTAAACTCCCACCCTTTAGAATCCATTAAAATTTATGAATTACATTAAAAATTAAGCTGTAGTTAAATGTGAAGAAAATATATTAATATTTAGTTTAGATGTTGAAAGATTTTCTAAGCATTATACTAAAGCAGAATTCATTAAAAAATTGATTTGCTCATAAAAATTAAATTATTTTGAACATTAAAAACCCCAAAATAATAATAGTGAAAGGAAAGTGAAAGATCAAATATCTAAAGATACATGGCAAAAGCGTCCTACAGATTTACCAAGGGTAAATTTGAAAAATGATATATATTTCAAATAAAAATACTATAAAATATGGTGAAAAATTTCAAAGTTACAAGAAAGTAAATGCAAATTTAAAATACTTTTAAAAATGTTATAGTGTTGTTGTTGGATACCGTCCAGTTGGTTCTGATTCATAGAGACCCTATGTAGAAAAGAACAAAACACTGCCTGATCCTGTGCCAGCCTCACAATCCTTGCTATACGTGCGCCCATCGTTGCAGCCACTGTGTGTCAATCCATCTCACTGAGGGCCTTCCCTTCTTTTGTTGATGTTCCACTTTGCCAAGTATGATATCCTTCTACAGGGAGTGGTCCCTTCTGGCAATATGACCAAAATAGGTGAGATGAAGTCTGGTCATTTTCGCTTCCAAGGAGCATTTTGGCTGCACTTCTTCCAGGACAGATTTTTTAGTTCTTCTGGCAGTCCATGGTACTTTCAGTATTCTTCGTCAACACCACAACACAAAAGTATCAATTTTTCTTTGTTCTTCCTTATTCATTGTCCAGCTTTCACATCCATATGAGATGACTGAAAATACCACGGCTTGGGTTAGGCATACTTTAGTCTTCAAAGAGACATCTTTGCTCTTCAGCACTTTATAGAGGTCTTTTGCAGAAGATTTGCCCGTTGTAATATGTCATCTGATTTCTTGACT